GGCAAATGCAAGGCCCTGGGTTAAGTCCTCAGCAATGGGGGGAGAAAAAGAGGACAAAATAACAAAAGGCAGGCTTAAATTCAAAGTGAATGCCCTTTGTGGTCTAAAAATAAATGCACTTAAACCTTTAATTTATATATAAAGAGAAAGGGGGATATAGGTATAGTTATCCAAACATACTAAGCTATATTTAGTTTCAAATTTAAGATTTTTTTTCTAAATTTCAGTTGAAAGATAATACTCTATTTTTGTTGTCAAAAAAGATTTTGCCCTAGAAAAGATAAACCCTGCCAGAAAAAAAAAAAAAAAAAAAAAAAAAAACTCCTTACCCGCGAGAGTTAGGGTTGGGGAAGGGTTTTGCTTTTATCTTTCCAAGAGAAAAAAAGCATCCAACGAAGTCATCTGGAGATGGACAAGTGAACCATGTGAAGAAAATGATGGATCATGAAGAGAAAATGTCCCCAACAGAATAAATTGGCCAAGTGGGATGAAGCACCTCTGGCCAGCCTAAACCCCAGCGCAGAGCCCCGGACCACCACCGGCACCCATGCCTCCACCTCACCTGAGCAGCCAGCCCTTCCTACCCTGGGCAGCACTGGACACAGGCTGGGGTGGCCGTTCTGGGCAGGCAGGTGCTTCCTTCTTCCTTCCCACCATGCGCTGCCCTGCCCCTGGCAGATTTCCAACTGCTTGTTTTGCTGCCCTCTACAGATACAGATATAGGTGGCAATAATCTTTATGTGGACTCAATTCAATTAAAAACTGAAGCTGGCTTTGAGGTTGGAGCATGGCTCTCTCCTTCTCTAAATCCATGTGTGCTTGTTAAAGGATAATCCAAATCTCTGTCTCGTATCACAAGAGCCACCCAGTATGGGACAGAGGAAAACAAAAATTAGAGACTATTCTATTGCACTCATCTCATAATCTTTTGGTTTTCATTTGACCCTATAAGAGGTTTTTTTGTAATCACTTTACATTTTATTAAATCCTGAAATTAATTTAAAATAAACATTTTATACTTTATTTTTTATTTAATTTCATTTATATATTTAGTTACTATAATTTACTCACTTTGTATTCTTGCTGCAGCCCCCTCCCTCATCTCTTCCCAGTCTCACTCACCCTCCCTCTTCTCCCCTTATGCCCCTATGCCCCTTTCCTAGTCCACTGAGAGGGGAGGACCTCCTAGCCCATCAGGTCTCATCAACACTGGCTGCATCATCTCCTAAGGCTGTACCCCCCCATAGGAAGGTGATCAAAGAACTGGCCACTGAGTTCATGTCAGAGATCTAAAACTTTTCTTAAGGTATATCTCAAAATCTATAAGATTGTTATGTATATATAAACTTTCTGTTATGATACTGGTAGTCATGCAGAATACTAATTTTATAAATAAACTTTATCTAGCTTCCCATACATGTTTTCAGGTTTGAGTCTGAAGCAGGTAATAGGAACAATGTTTGTGTACCTTGGATGTACTCAATAGATTGTAATCCTCAAACCTTTCAGAAATCTGCTAAATACACCATTTAAAATGTTTAAGTTTTCTACAATAAACAGTGACCATTCCTGACAGTAACCTCTGAGGTCTCCAAAAAGATGATGGTCCCTGCAAAAAAGAATCCACCTGGATTGTGGTATTGCTAGCCACCATGCCCCCCTCCGCCACCAGGTTCTTCTCAGTGGACAGTTTTGGGTTGATTTCTGTGTTCTATCTAGCCAGCACTGTCACTAAGCTGACAAACAACACCCAAAGATCAGCTGCAGATTACAAACTGCTTAGGACATTTGAACTGCTGAGTTCATAGGAGACTGATACAAACATTTTACAGAACTTTCACCTCAAAAATACTTAATCCTAAGACGGCCAAATACAACCAGGCTGGACACTGTAGAAAACCTGGCAGAAATAGCTTCATTGTTGTAAACAGTTTTACTGTGTTAGAGTTAAACCTTTCCTTTTTATTTAGACAAAAAAGAGGGAAGGGAAGAAATGTTGCAGGATATATGATCACACTGTGAACCCCAAGACTGTGTTCTTCACTGTAAAAACTTGTTTTTAGTTGTGATGTGGCTCAGCCTTAGCACACACCATTAATCCAAAAGCTTTCTGTTTAAATACTGTAAACATGATTAAATAAAGTCAACCTTAGGTCAAGAGGCAGAGCAAGCAACCAGTTGACAGGAAACAAACATAGCATTATTTAGAAAAAAAACACAAAGAGGAACAAAAAGTCGGGAGGATGAATAGAGAGATGCACACAAAAGAGCAGAGAGGGACATCAAGTTTGAAGTAGGTTGTTTGAAAATGTGTAGGAGGAAGGGATTCCTTTCCAAGATGTTCACTGAGGACGAAGGTCAGCTGGGTGCTTTCTCTGCCTCTCAGCTAGCAAGCTTTCACTCCATCATGTGGCTCCCAAGTCTTTATTGTTAAATTTAAAACACTGAGATTTTGTTAAAAACAACATAGGGTCACTATCTAAAGAACCACAGACACACTCAGGAAGGCAGAGGCAGGTAGACTGTTCTGAGTTTTGAGGCCACCCTGGTCTAAAGCAAGTCCAGGACAGCCAAGACAGAGAAACTCTGTCACAAAACAAAAAGAACCATGGACACAAGTATTTCTATATGCAAATTATGAGGAGAAAAACAGAAATCAGTATAAACTGTAGTTATCAAGGGTGACCCCATGCATCTAAATAAATCTGAGGTGTGGAGATATTGATCAGTACTAGCTGCTCTTCCAGAGGACCCAGGTGTGGTTTCCAGCACCCACATCACAGCTCGTAGCTATACCTCCAGTGTCAGGGGGATCTAATGCCCTGGGCAACAGCCACATAGCAGACATACACATAGGCAAAATAACATGTACAGTAAACAAACAAACAAATAAATCAATCAAACCTGAGTTGAGACTTGAAAACCTGGCAGGATTTAAAATAATAGAAAAGGAGACCAAGGCATCTGCAGTGGTTTGAATAAGAATGTTCCCCATAGATCCATAGAGAGTGACATTATTAAGAGGTATGGCCTTGATGGAGTAGGTGTGGCTTTGTTAGAGAACCTGCATCATCAGGGGGCAGGCTTTGAGGTCTCAGAAGTTCAAGCCAGGCCTAATAGCTGATATTTCTTCATGCTGCCTGCCAAAACAGATACAGAACTCCCAGCTACCACGATTGCACCATGTCTGCTGGCACACAGCAGCATGACCATGCTTCCCGCCATGATGATAACAGACTAAACCTCTGAACTGTAAGCCAACCCCAATTAAATGTTTTCCTTTATAATAATTGCCATAGTCATAGTGTCTCTTCACAACAATAGAACAATGACTAAGACAACATCCTAGAAATAAGATTGCAATATATATATAGTATATCCAAAACATTTTAAATACTGTATAACTTAAAGTACAGAAATACTGTAGAAAAATGCTGTATTATAATATTTTTTTACTATTTTATAAGTTATGAATTCAAACTCAAGTGAATTTTAAGATCAATAAAGCAGGGGCCACATACTACAATTCTTTTCAGTCTGGTAGAGAGGCTTTAACATGGTCAAATGTGATGTGCTAAACCATTTATTTAGAAGATTTACAAAGGGTAAAAATAGTTATAATGTAAGATTTACTGTAGAACTTAGCTAGGATGTGGTGAAAAAAAAAACTGTAAACCTCTTCTTGAAACTTAATTACATCTCATTAGAGAATCATCCCATGAACATCCTGACCAAACTACCAGAAGTAACTAATACTCAAAAAAATGAGTTTGTATTCCTGTTCCTATACTGACTCTACTATTTTTCATGTTTTTTCAAATAAATAATTTATGCTATTTTTACTTTCTAATATTGACAAGGGAGTTTAAATGTATAAAGACAATATAAATGGAATATAACAGTACCACTAAAATAATTGTCAGGTAATGGGCCTCAATATGTCATGTAGATTTTTAAGTATTTTCAATACTGCACTCATCTATAACATTGCTATGGCATTGTAATATCAAACATAATACCAATTTATTCCTCATTGGATATTCAAAAATATTCCCTCCTTTCTTCCTCCATCTATTTACTCCACTTGCCTCTCCAAGTCACCCTTTGTCTTTTCTATAAACATACATTTGGGTCCCCCTTCACTCCTATATCTTTCTTAGGGTAACTATAGCCACTAGACAGAAATAATATATACAAAGATAAATTACATATCTATGCCAAAGAGTCACAAATCCTAAAGACTATGTCATTACAAATCCTAAAGCACAAAAACTAAACTTGAATATGCAAGGTTTATACTTCAAATGCAAGATTATCATGAACCAAAGGCAGGTAGCTATGATTAAGAGAATTTTAAAAAGTGTATTTTTTAAATAAATACTTATTTATAGAAATACACCTAATTCTCTCAAAAATACAAAGCAATAAAAACTTTATTTTATGTGTATGTATGTTTTGTCTGCATGTCTGTCTGTGTAATCAATCACATGTGTGCCTGGTGTACAGAGGCCACAAGATGGGGCAGGAACCCATGAACTGGAGTTATAAAGAGCTGTGGGCTAGGAACTGAATCCAGGTCCTCTGGAAGAACAGCCAGTGCTCTTGACTGCTGAGCTATCTCTCCAGCCTCCATAAAGACTTTAATTATCAGCTTAAAAAAATACACAAAGAAGAAAGAAACGGCACAGAAAGATGGGAACAGAGAACTATGTAGAAACATGAAGACTAATTTTCTAATAACCTTTGGAAAGCAGTGAGCTTAAAAAAAAAAAGTCTACTAGAAAACAAGGCTTTTGTGGCAAGTATTTGGGGTGAAAGAAAATAGTGCTTGTTACAGAAAAATGGCTCTTAGTGAAATAAAGTCAGAAGTTAACAGTTGCACATCTTTAATAATCTACTCCTTCTACACAGAATCTACACTTGCTTTGTGTTTGTTAATTTTATTATTACAAAACTGTAAGACTCAAAACCAACGCTTTTAACAAAATGTCATTTCTTACCCTCATAGGATGTATATCAGCATAAGGAGGTTTTCCCTCTGCCATTTCTATAGAGGTGATGCCAAGGGACCAGATGTCAGCCACACAGTTGTAACCTATTTCTTGAATTACCTCAGGAGCCATCCAAAATGGAGTTCCTATTACAGTATTGCGTTTGGCCATTGTATCCTGCAATGGCATTATATAAGCATAAATACTATACAAAAACAAAAAAAAACTGTTAAAACAACAAACTCATTAAAACACGATCTGCTAATAATACAAATTCTCTTCAAAATTGACTATTTTCCTAATGTTTCAACTAGTTATAACATATTTTAGGAATCTCAAATTGTAAAATAACCAAGAGTTATTTTATTAAAGATAGCCATTAAAAATAGTATGATAACAGTAAAAGCAACAAATACCAATGTACCAAGAGATTAAATAGTTTCCCTTTCATAAATATGAGCATTTTGATGATGAATGTATTTCATTATCTAGTGACCCTCACAACGTAAACAGACTCAAATATGGCTTCTTCTCCATAAGAGTAACAATGTTACCCTACCATACTCACTAATTACCAACTTAGTCAAAATCAAGCCTGAAAAATAGTCAAAAATATTAAAAAAATTATTAAAGCCAACTTACGGTTAACTGGCCAGCCACTCCAAAATCTGCGAGCTTTGCGTGTCCTTCTGTATTGAGGAGAATATTCCCAGCTTTTATATCTCTGTGTATTTTCCTCATAAAATGCAAATATTCTAATCCTTTCAATGTGGATTTTAGAATAGTTGCAATTTCATCTTCTGTTAACTGGAAAGGAATATTTTTAAAATCATGTTGAGATACAATGTCAGATAAAGTCACAGAAGACAATAGTAAACAAGTACTCCTTTTTTTTCTTTCTTTGTTGCTTACTTGCTTGCTTGCTTGCTTGCTTGCTTGCTTTCAGACAGGGTTTCCTTGTGTAGCCCTGGCTGCCCTAGATCTGGCTGTGTAGACCAGACTGGCCTCGAATTCAGAGATCTGCCTGCCTCTGCCACCCAAGTGCTGGGATTAAAGGCATGTGCCACCACTGTCCGACATGAGCACTTAACAGCCACTAAAACTCTACAAAAACAGATCAAGATTAATAAATCACAAAATTTCTGCCCTCCACACAATACCGTTATTCTATTATATCCTTTACTTAAAAATGAAAGATTAAATTCCTTTAGAATTATCTATTGTGCACAAAGAGTAAAAATGTGCATTCCAAGAATCTCCTTGACTAAAAGTCATAATTTCCCTTTGAGCCACTACAATCTGTTTTTCACTGATTATTTCATTTACCTTTAAAACAATCCTATAGTATAGCATTATATTCTAAAGTAGTAACAAGCAAATATTTGGGCTTCTTTCCAGGTTCCTGTTATTAGAAAAGAATTTCTAAATCCCTTGTAATTTGAGTAACAAAAGAAATGAAAGGGACAGGGACACACACACACACACACACACACACACGTCAGGGTATCATGCAGCACAAGGTAGCCTCTAAGCTGCTACCAGCTGCAGCTGACACTGAACTTCTGGTCTCCTGCCTGCATCTCCCAGTTTGGGGCTTACAGAGACTCATAGCATGTAGTTTATGTGGTGTGGTGCTGAAAGTCAATCTCAGGGCTTCACACCTGGAGATAAGCATTCTACCAAATGATCTAGCTCCTTCTTCAGAATTTATAATGTGAGTCTTTCATACTAGCAAAGTGACTCTTGGTAGGACCCTGAATAAATACACAGTAGAACATGGTCACTAGAAAAGACAACCATGTCATTAAAGGGTTGGATTCACCCCATCTCATAATATGTGACTTAATCACCAATGTCCTATGTTGGCATAATGTTCTTTTGGGAGGTATACACCTTACCCTGGTTCATTCAAATGCTTATTTCTCTCACCCACTATCTGGTTTCAATCAGGACACTGCATTATGATATTTATTCTAAGCATCACCTGTCTCAAGTTTGTGTAAACATGCCACAATTTGTTCTCTAAATTGTCAATTAAAACAACGAGCCACAAAGTTGAGCAATGGAGAGGATAGGATGGGACATCCTGGTTCAGAGTGGGAGGAGAGGAAGGAAGCAGAAGGAGAGACAGGAGTAGGAGAAGAGGAGCAGAAGCAGGGAGAGCAGAAGCTGGAGGAGAAGTCTTGGAATGACGTGGAGAAATGAACCAGACCTAAAATATCACTAAAAGCAAGTATAATGGGTGAATCTGAATGACAAGAAACTATAAGGGCTTGGAGGTTTAGGATGGAGTAACTATTGCCCAGCATTGTGTTCTACGTTAATTAAATAAATCATAGTCTGTGTGGGATTTGGTTATACAGCTGGTTAAGATTAACTGCAGCTTTACTAAAAGATATATCAATAGTAAATATTAATTACCAAATGCAACAGTTCTAAGACTTAACTATGCCTATATAATCAAATAAAAAATAAATGGTTAAACTTATGATCTAAGTACAGAGGAAGGCATCACTTGAAAAAAAAAAACAAACAGGTAGTGGCACACACTCACACAAAAAAAGGTCAGTGGCAACTGCCACAAGGAACACAGGCAGAGAACTGGAGGGGGGGTGTCTCTGTGTACTCAGAAATATCTAAGGGACTCTTTTTTTTGTTGTTGTTGTTCTATGTTTTATAGCATGTTAAGGGTAAGGAGATTGGGGAGATACCCTGAGGGCTGACCTGGGGCTCACACATTCTAAGCATGTTCAGTCACTAAGCTATACTTCCAGTCCACATCACTAAAAGACGTTTTTACTGAGGTCTAAATGATATGGAGCCAATCGTATGAATGTTTTCTTGGAACACACAAACTACACTAAAGCAGGTGGGAAAGAAAAATTTCTAAAGATCAGAAAGAGGAAGGCACACTTAAGAGAACATATTTTGTTCACATACTATTATGAGACCAGAGATAGAAAAGGACACTGAGAAAACTACAGAATGGTATCCTTTAGTGCAAGTCCTTAATAAAATACTGGCAAATACAAATAAACAGGATATTGAAAGGATTTTATATACCATTACCAAATGAAATTTATTTCCCAAATTTAAAGATGGTGCAACATATGAATTTTGTACAATATAATGTATTATCTTAACAGAATAATGAGGGGAAAGTCACATGATCACTTCAAGTATTAACAGGAAAGCCAACTGACTAAACAAAAAATTCAACAAAATATGATGAAAACACATAGCAAGCTAGGGACCAACAGAACCAGCTCTACCTTAGAGCAGTGGAGACACACAGAGCACAATACGCACTGTCACAGCCCGGAAGCATCTCCACTAGAGCAGAAACAAGCAAGGGAACTGCTCTTGCCATGTCTATTCAACATAGTACTTGAAGGTTCTAAGCAGAGCAATGACGCAGAAAAAGAACTACAAGAAGTAAAACAATATGTTTGCAAAACAACAACAGTTTTACTCTCATTATCAAGAATAATTTTAGCAATCTAGCAGGATACAGAGAACAAAATCATTAGCATTCCTTAATAGGAAATTGCAAAAACTTCCACTTACAATAATATCAAAAGAATAAAATACTAAGAAATTAACCAAGTGATAGACTTATACAGTGAGAACAAGAAAACACTGAATGATATTGAAGAGGAAATGAAAATGGAAATGTATCCCACAGCCACATTCACACACTTCTTGCTAAGACGCCCACGCTACACAAAGCAATCTACAGATTCAATATGAGCTGCATCAAAATCTCAGTGATGTTAATGAAGAAACAGAAAAAAATCTTAAAATTAATAGACCAAGCTGGGTAGTGACTGTCACCTGTAACCCCACAACTAATGGGCTGAAGCAATAGTGACATGACCTCAAACCCATCTAGGCCACCATGGGCTACAAAGAACAGTCTGAACAAACTACAAGACACATACTCCCTAATCTGAAATCTTACTATTTACTGCTATAAGAAAACACATAGAGATGAATGGGATAGAATGATGATTCCAAAATTAGCCCATGTATACCTAGTCACAAGATTTCAACAAAACTACTTAATTTATTTAAAAAAAGACTATTTTAACACATAGTACCATATACAAACATTAACTAAAAATGGACCAAAGATTTAAATGTAAGATTAAATCCAAACAATATAAGAAAGGAAAGACAACCAAAAGCTTCACAACATGGGATTTGGCAGTAATTTTTCTGCCAAATGACACAACTACAAAAGAAAAAACAAATGGGTAGCTTTATGATATTTCTGTAAATCTGTGTAATAAGATAGTTAAAACATAGCCCCCAAACTGGAAAATGAAGTTTATTTCTGTGAGCAAAAAATATTTTCCAAAATATATAGAAAACATCTTTAAAAAACAACAAAAAAATACATTTTAAAATAGACAAGGATTTTTTTATAATTAAATTTATTTTTATTAATTACAGTTTATTCACTTTGTATCCCCCCATAAGGCCCTCCCTCCTCCCCTGCTGGTCCCATCCTCCCTCCCCCTTCTTCATGCATGCCCCTCCCCAAGTCCACTGATAGGGGAGGTCCTCTTCTCCTTCCTTCTGATCTTAGTCTATCAAATCACATCAGGAATGGCTGCATTGTCAGCTTCTATGGCCTGGCAAGGCTGCTACCCCCTCACGGGGAGGTGATCAAAGAACAGGCCAATCAGATTATGTCAGAGGCAGTCCCTCTTCCCATTACTATGTAACCCAATTGGACACTAAGCTACCATGGACTACATCTGTGCAGGGGTTCTAGGTTATCTCCATGCCTGGTACTTGGTTGCAGTATGAGTCTCTGGGAAGAACCCAGAGACCCCAGAAATTTTCTGGTTCTGTTTTTCTCCTTGTAGGGTCCCTGTTCTCTTCAGATCTTACTATTTCTCACTTCTTACATAAGATTCTCTGCACATTGCCAACAGTTGGCTATAAGTCTCAGCATCTACTTTGATAGTCTGCAGTGTAGAGCCTTTCAGAGGCCCTCTGTGGCAAGTTAGGTTGTTTCCTGTTTTCTTCTTCTTCTGATGTCCATCCTCTTTGCCTTTCGGGATAGGGATTGAACATTTTAGTCAGGGTCCTCTCTCTTGATTAGTTTCTTTAGATGTACAGGTTTTAGTAGGTTTATCCTATATTATATGTCTGTATGAGTGAGTATTACCATGTATGTCTTTCTGCTTCTGGGATAGCTCACTCAGGATGATCCTTTCCAGGTCCCACCATTTACCTGCAAATTGCATGATTTCCTTATTTTTCATTGCAGAGTAATACTCAATTGTATAGATGTACCACAATTTCTGCATCCATTCTTCAGTTGAGGGCATCTGGGCTGTTTCCAGCTTTTGGCTGTTACAAATAAAGCTGCTAAAAACATGGTTGAGCAAATGTCCTTTTTGTGTACTTGAGCCTCTTTTGGGTATATGCCTAGGAGTGGTATGGCTGGATCTTGAGGAAGCGCTATTCCTAGTTGTCTGAGAAAGCGCCAGATTGCTTTCCAGAGTAGTTGGATTACTTGGTTTGCTGCTTTTCAGCTTCTTTAGTTCTTTATATATACTGGATATTGGCCCTTTATGTCAGATAAAGGGTTGGTGAAGATTCTTTCCCAATCTGTAGGCAGTCGTTTTGTTTTGATGATGGTGTCCTTTGCTTTACAGAAGTAGACAAAAATTTCTAAACAGAACACAAACAACTCAGGCTCTAAGCTCAGCAATTAATAAATAAAATAGGACCTCATGAAACTAAAAAGCTTTTGTAAGGCAAAGGACACCACAAAACAACAGCCTACAGAC